AAAGAAAAAAATGAAAATGTTAGAGGAAAACAAAAAAATATCAGAAACCTGCTGATTCATTTTCTTGGTTTTGGTTGTTTACTTACAATAACTATGCACCAAATCCTTATATTTAATTCTAAAACGTTCCCTTATTTTTGGAGCTGCTTATTGTTTATTAGTTAATAGCATACTTTAACTTGCCTTACAATTTAACATTTTTACATTGCAGGTTTTATATCAAAGTACATTGCAATGTGCTTTCAAAAATTGTAACTAGGACATTGTTAGACTTTGAAGAGCCTTTCTATTTTGCTTCAATAGGCAAAGAAAAATAGTAATGGAATGTTTTGGCATTAGTAAGACTACAATGCCTTACCCACTTGATTCAATCTCTTTTTTCACTTTCTTATTATCTTAAATTGTACTGTATATTCATGCTCAATTTTCCTGATTTGTAGAACAAGCTAATTGCTAATGTGTGGGCATGAAGGATAGGCCCTGAAGATGGATGGATCCCCAACTCTACCCCTAACTGGGAGATTGTGAAGAAGAAACAAAATTGAGAATTATTGGATATGTAGGAAGGGTTGGGGTCCTAGAGAAATGGAGACAGACCAATCACCACAATTTTTTTTGAAAGTAGTTATGTATGCATTTGTTAGCTTTATTGCATAGGCATACTGTAGAACTTGGGCCTTTATAGAAGAAACAATGGAAGAGTGAGCATTTAAACAGGCTCGGGAGAGAAAAACTATGAATATGTGCTTGCAAAATGAAAATGTTTTCTAAAATGGATACATTTGAAAAGGAGTCCATAACCTAGTAGCAAAGGCCTAATCTTTGTTATTTGATAAGAGGTGTTTCAGTGTGAAAGTATAATGGGTTTTGGAGAGTGGGGATAAAGATTGGAAGGTGGAGGGAGGAAAAGGAAAACAATTTTTTCCTGAGCACTTTTCTATCTGCAAGATCAGCAGTTAGAAACTGCCAACCTCTGTGTTCCCCAAAGACAGGGCTTTCTACTCCATCAAGGGTTACAGACACAGAAACGCACAGGGGGCAGTTCTACCCTCTCCTATAGGGTTGCTATGATTGGCCTAGACTCAATGAGTTTGTTCTCTTCATTCTGCAAATATTCAGCACCTACAATGAGCTAAATGAGCACTGACTACACAGGCCAAGTAAACCATTCTCTCTGTACTCACTTAGGCTCGTGGAAGATGCTTGTTCGGAAGGAACCACCAGAGGGAGAGCTGGACATTTGTTGAATGGATATATATAAAATTGACAGATGCTATGAGATTGAAGTGGACTGTATCCCAAGCTTTGTGAAGACCTCATTTAGGAAGGGGAAACACTATCTCCATCTCTATGCTGGGTGAGGACCAGGAAGAGAGTGGGTAAGAGATTAGGCCTTGTTTAGCATGGCTAAGGCAGGAAACACACAGCTACCAGGGACACTTCGAACGTTTGTACCCCTGGCAAATGCATGCTCTAATTTAATACTAGGGGTGAGAGAGGATAAAGAAAATGCGGTAACACTGAATGCTTCCTACTGGGCCTGGGGAAATAAAAATTAAAAAACAGCATTTCCTCCATAAACGTCTACCTCTTTCAGATATTTGGATTCAAATTAGTCTTGGAAGTGGTTTTTTTTCCCCTTTGTTTCATTTTCTTATTATGATTTGACACTGACGTGTTGCACTTAAGCGATATGAAGCATAACTCGGACATTAGCAGTGGGTTCACAATTAGGAACACTTTATCAATTATACCGTATTATCATAGCCCTACAAACCCATGAAAAGGTTAATCACTTCCATTTGAAAACGGTATTTCTCTGGGATGGAATTATACCAACGTCTTAAAGTTGTTATGAAAGTCGTCAAATAACAGTTATTGTTAACATTGTAAAACCTGGGGGTAAAAGCTGTACTTCGGGGTGCTAGCGTTTTGGGGGTGGGGCGAGAACTGAAGGATGGATACACGAAGTCTCCTTCAAGGGCACTTCCAGTCTAACTGTTCAAGCCCCGCCTTGGTTTGCTTTTCACTGGTTCTGGGAGTTAGGAATGGCGCTGGAAGCCCAGGTCCGATAAGAGGCGCCGCCCCTCCCGGGCCGCGCGGGCTGACAGAGGCAGGGCGGAGGCAAGAATCCCCGGGCTCGCGACCAGACTGGGCGGGGCCTGTACGCAGGCGCCCTGGCCCTGGCGCCAGGACTGCGGGCCCGCCGCGGAGGTCGGAGCACGCATGCGTGGGAGCCGGGCCGCCAGCGTGCGCGTGACGTCACGGGCGCGCCAACCTAAACGCTTCCGGGTTTCTAAACGCGGGAATTCGGGTGAAAGGGTCTTCGGAGTTTCTTGCATGGATGTTCAGGTGAGCTGAGCTGAGATTACGTAGAAATTAATTTAGTTCAGACGAAAGGTACTTGGAGTCAATGTAGAAACCCTCCTCACGAGTCTTTATCGTGAAGCTGTTGTGTAGGTTAGCATCTTGTTCGGTATTTTAGGAGGAGCTGACGTGAGTACTCCCTTTGCCGTCACGGGAGATGTGGACACATTTCAATGAAGTCTTCACATAGTGAGATTGAAGAAATAAGATTGGAGTGCATCGTACGAGTGTACATCAGCGTGTGCGTTGTTTCTTTAAGTTCCTTAGAGGAGTGAGGGGAGGAGGCAACATAGGTTGTCTAGTAACACGCTTCTGGCGCAGCACTTGGGGACACTGTTAACAGCTGCCGAGCGAATTAAGAAACAAAAAGCCCCGTTTCACATCCTCCCCAGCCAGCTGTCGCTGTCACATTTTGGAGCACCGTGGTAAAGCCATGTTCGAGTGACATTTTTCTGACATCTTCAAACTTGATTGTGGCTCCAATGTCGATATAAAAGCTATATAGAAAAGGGTTGCTCTCGATGTCTTGGGAGCATTCATGTATCAATCCATGTAAATTATTAACAACCCTCCCCAACACGGTGATAATTTACTTAAAAGACAGCCAAAGAACGTTGCTTAGGGTAACTGACCATATTTTGACAGAAACACTGGTCTTTGTGTCTTAAGCAGCAAGTGCCCCGCTTCTGTAATTGAAACTCATCCGGATCACACAGTGAAGCAGAAGTGCTATGCCCCTTGAATTAATAAAGGAAGTCAATGGGGTACCGGATGTCCAGCTGCTAAGTAAACTGCAAAAAGTAGATTTCCGATCCCTACAGTCTGGTTGTGATTATAGCAAGAAGTATATCCAGGTAAGAATGTCCATGATTCTGAGGTTTGTTTTGTTTTTTTTTAACTTAAGATGAATGATATTTTTATGATGAAGTTGATTTTATCTTTTTAAAGTGGGGACTGTTTGAGGAATGGTTTTGCCTCTGATAACATTTGGGGCTGAAGATGTTGATACAGTATGAAGCATTCAGCATTCAGTTAGCAAACATAGGTGAGATTCGGGGCCCCCCCCCCCCCACCTCCTCCAACCATTGTGAATTGGTCAAGGTTTCCAGAGCAAATCGGTTTCCATTCCACAGTTCATACACGTTGTTTCATATCATGTCATGGATTGCTAGCCCCACAATGAAACATCCCTTATCTCCCTTCCTCCTGGTGTTCCCTTTTCCTCTTTTCCTAACCCTTTTGAACTCTGACCTTAGGCAAATGCTGCCCTTTTGACCTCAAGTGGTTGATTATTCGAAAGTGTGCATGTCTCACTAGTGTTATTGTTCCCCTTATGTTGTTAGCTGCTGTCAAGTGGGTTCTGAATCATAGCAGCCCTGGGTGCATCAGAATGAAACACAGCCTGGTACTGTGCCTTCCTCACGATCTTTAATGTTTGAGCTTTGTTGCAACCATTATGTCAGGCTACCTCATTGAGCTTCATGCTTTTTGCTGGCCCTCTACCAACATGGGGCCTTTTATACAGGAACTGGTTCCCTTTATACACCTGTCTATTGTTTGGCTGTCTATAAGGTTTTCAGAACCTATTATCTCTGAAGAAGACTGCCTATTCCTTCTTTGTGGTTTGTAAGCTCTGCTGAAACCCATGGACTTGGGTGATCCTAAGGAGAGACCAGTCCCTGGAAAAGTCACTGCTTGGCAAAGTAAAGGATCAGCAACAAAGAAGGACCCGTGACAAGATGGATGGACACAGTGGCTGCAACAGTGGGATCAAAACAATTGTGAGGATGGCTCAGGACTAGGAAGTGTTTCCTTCTCTTGTGTACATAGGGTTTTGAATTTTGCTCGCGTTTTTCTCTTACTCTATCTAGGACCTCCTAATGTGATCCATTTTAGAGCAGTTGGTTTTGGTAGCTAGGCACCATCTGGTTCTGCTCTCAGAGTCTTGGAGACTGGTGTTTGCGTGGTCCCTTAGTCCATTGGACTAATTGTCCCATGAATTGAATTTGTACATGTTACACTGATATAAGTGTTTGAAGTATTCATCAGAGATGAATCAATGTAGTCCCTGAACACAAAGTGATCACATTCTTGTGGGGTTTGACAGATCGCTTCAGCTCTAATTCTAATTCATACATGCAGTATTAGCATTGTGATATGTGAACATTTAGGAGAGAATTCTTGGTTCTGAAAGGTCAGGAAAGTTGAGCAGCAACTTAAACTAAGAAGCGATTGTATCTTCCTTTTGAGTAAGAGTAGCCCTTTTAAGTATATTATTGGTAAGTTACCCTATAAACTGTTGAGCCCTTCCCAGAATTTAAGCAAGAGGAAGACATGATTCACACCAAAATCTAAATTGGTCTGCCTCCTGGGTGAAGAGTATTGGTGAGGGCAAGGCTAAAGGAAGCATATGTAGTTTCCAGTCGGTTGCAGTGAACTACATGAAAGTTGATGCTAGTCTGAACTGGTAACAGAGGGCATGATGGAAAGGAAGCATTAAAACTAATAATGTAATAGTGATAATAGTCCAAGGTAACATATTGAACTCTTTCCATGTGTGAAGTAGTATTGTAAGTGCTTTGTTTATATTAAGGAAACTTGTTGGTGCTATTAGGTATGAGTTGGACTGTTAACCCCAAGGTTGGTGATTCAAACCTACCAGCCACTGTAGGGGAGAATGACTAGGCTGTCTGTTCCTGTAAAGATTTACGAAGTCTTGAAAACCCTATATAGGGTTGCTCTGAGTTGGAATCTTTACAGAGGATGATATTGGGTAAGGCTAAGTGGTTTCGAGATCTCACAGCTAAGTCGTAGAGCTAGGATTAGAATCTAGATGACCTGCTCTAGAGATAAGAAGATAAAGTGAGAATCAACAAGTCTTGGGGAACAATTAGGTATGAGGAGCAAAGACACTATCAGGCTTCTAATAAAAAAAAGAGGAGCTGATACCGAGGGCTCAAGTAGAAAGAAAATGCTTTGAAAATGATGATGGCAACATATGCACAAATGTGATTGATATGATTGATGTATGGATTGTTATAAGAGCTATAAGAGCCCTCAATAAAATGATTTTTAAAATAAATAAATAAAATGAAGTGATCAAACAATTTCCATGAATCTAATTCGTGGTCAGCTTGAAGAAGACACTAAGCGATGCCCATTCAGGGAGAAATAGAAGGAATCAGTATTAGACAATGCCATGAGCTATGATGAAAATTGGCTAGCAAAGTGCTGTAGTTTTCAACTATTCTAGGACCCAGATGAATAGGGTAAGGCTCATTGTGGGGTTGGCTTCCCTCTGACCCTTGTCCTAGGGTTCGTTGATAGAGGAATTCTGATCTACACTTATAAGCTTCCAAGTTTCAGTTGTAGGCAAGAGACTTTGAGGCAAAGGGGTTTGGGGCCTGTGATCAGAACAAGGAGGAAAGATTCTCTGACAAGGAGAAAGGACTGGAAAAGAGATTCCCAATTCCTACCCTTTTAGAGAATTTTCTGAGCCCAAGGCCTCAGCTGAGGCCACCTGGAAGGGGATTTTAAGGGCAGGCCTTCCAGCTGATATGTTTGAGGGGTGCTCGGTGCTATTCAGACGTGCCTTGGTGGTGTAGTAGTTATGTGTTGGGCTGTGATCTGAAGTCAGCAGTTTGAAACCATGAACGGTTCCTTGGGAGAATGGACGTCGTGCTACTGTAAACAGTTACAGTCTCGGAAACGCACAGGAAGGTCGTTATGAGTCAGCATTGACTTAATGGCTCTGCGTTTGGTTTTGAGCTTTGGTGGTATTCAAATGGTAAGGTCCAATGGGCAAATGAATTTAGGAGTCCGGATTTCAAAAGGTCTGTTCCTCCAGGAGATTTGGGCTAAATGATAGAGCGTTATTGAAAGAAGTTATATGAATAGACAGTGACATGGCTTAGGAAGAAGTAGAGGAAATTGGGAAATAATGGGGCTTTGAGTACCTGGGTTAAAGTTTGAAGGCACGATTAATGCCAACTCATAGATTGCCATCTGCTAGGCACTTTCGTGTGTGTGTGTGTGTGTGTGTGTGTGTGTGTGTGTGTGTGAAATCCTCAGAAGAACCCTATAAAGCCAAACCAAGTTCTTTGCCGTCAAGTCAATTTTGGCTTACTATGAGCTCCGAGGACAGACTAGAACTGCCCCGTAGGGTTTCTGAGGCTGATGTTGCAGTTAACAGGTCTACACCTCCAGGGCTTCTTGTCCTTATCTGTCAGCACTATTTATGTTGTGGAAAAAAATATTTGCAAAGTGTAAGTCATTGGCCTTGCAAATTTCTATCAAGTGATTTCTGGCATCATTTCTATCATGTATACTCAATGTTCCAACCAACTCTTCTTTGTTTCCAACTTTCACATTCAAATCACCAATAATTCTTAATGAACCTTGATTATATGTTTGATCAATTTTAATACAAGTTGGTAGAAATCTTCAGTTTTTTCATCTTTGGTTATAGTGGTTAATATGTAAATATGATTTGCTACCAAAGACCTCTTTGAAGTGTTACATAGCAAGGATTTCACTTTGAGGTCTAAGGGGACCTTACTCAACCTTTGGTCTTTTCAGTCACCGTGTATGCACACAAAAGCTAAACAGTGAATAAAGAAAATCAAAGAAGAATTGATACCGTTGAATTATGGTGTTGGCAAAGAGTAATGAATATGCCATGGACTTCCAGAGGAGTGAACCAATTTGTTTTGGGAGATGCAGAGCCAGAATACTCCTTATAAGCAAGGATTACAAGACTTTATTTCATGTACTTTAAGTCCTTTTATCAGGAGAGACAAGGCCTCGGAAGAGAACATCTTGTTTTGGTACAGTAGAGGGTCATCAAAAAACAGGACGACCCGTAACAACATCAGTTGACACAGAAGCTACAACAGTGGACTCAAATACAACAATAATGGTGAGGATCTTCCATGGGGGCTTGTTGCTTCTCTGCCAGATGGCTGCTTATTTAACGTCATGCCTTTAAGACTCCAGACGCTATATCTTATAATAACCGGTCATACCTTTAAGACTCCAGACGCTGTATCTTATAATAACCGGTCAACCTCAGCTTTCTTAACCGCTTTTGCTTATGCGCCCATTTTGTCTTCAGTGATTGTGCTGGGAGGGTGAGCATCACAGGATGTCAGGTTGTTAGAACAAAGTGTTCTTGCATTGAGAGAGGGCTTGAGCAGAGGCCCAAAGTCCCTCCACTTCTGTAATGTTTTGCCTTATAAATATATGTACATAGGCCAATACCTCTATTTTTATGAATTAGTGTAATTACCTATGTACACACCTATGTTTATACCTCTATCCATAACTATGCTTCCTAGATCTTTCCTCTGTTTCCGTTTACCTTCCTCCTGCCCTACCATCATGCTCGCACTTCTTCTGCCTTTTAGTAATTCTTCTCAGCTAGATTGCTGTTGATCCAACACCACCAGAATCTCTATGCCCTCCTCCTTGTTGATTTTAATCCCCTAGTTGTTCCCCTGTCTATTGCGTTGTTTGCTCACCACTCCCCCCCACCCCACCTCCTCCTCCCTGCAAGTCCCTCCGGGACTGTTGACCCTGTTGCTTTCTCCTCGGGCTGGCTGCCCATGCCTATCTTATATAGGTAGGCAAACCAACAATAATGGAGACAAAGCAAAAGATTGAATAAAAAGAAGGGGGGAACCGATTGCAATGATCAACACATAACCCCGACCCCCGGGGGGACGAACAACAGAAACCATGGGTGAAGGGAGACAGGGTTGGTGTAAGATATGAAAATAACAATAATTTATAATTAATCAAGGTGTTATGAAAGGGGAGGGAGGGAAAAAAGAGGAGCTGATACTAAGGGCTCAAA